GCTAAGTGTATTCGCGTTGCTGTCGCAATGTGTTCAATGTGCCGCAACTTCAAAGGACTTCATGTGTGTGTTCACGGGATGTTCAGATAAGGACCCATGGTTCAGGAGTTGATAGTTGTCATCCGAGGTATTTTATTGTTTGTGGTTAGCGCAGACAGATACAACGTGAGTGGAGGATTTCGGCGTTGGTCTTTCTCACCCCCGCACTCCACGACCGACGGTTTCCTCCTCGATTGTACTCATTAAGGAGTGAAACTCGGTACGCAGTGGCTCTCGGCTATTGAAATCTGTGAGTAGAGCTTGACACGGTGGTTAGAAGCTGAGTTCGATAGAACGTACTAATTTTAATTTTAAGAACTAGTGAGGCTGTGCATCTGTCGCATGAATCAAAATGCTTGCGTATTGATCCTTAATCGCGACAAAAGTGAATAGGGATGAACGTTTACATTCCATTGAGGGTTAGCGTTACCCATTTTGAAAGCCATGTCCAGAAAGGAGAAATACTCGGTACCGTGAATTCCACATTTTTTTCTGATCGGATTCTCATCATGCGCAACATCGGACTGTGAGCTGCGCAAAATTTCTGATGACTGTCGGAGGTTTTTTCTGGAATTTCATGCATCCAATCAGGAAAAAAAGTGTTCTCTGATTTTGTCAGTTGCTCTTGGAACTGTAATTTTGAGTTGTTTAATGCAAATGGGCATCTGGTGTTGAAAAACAGTGGAACACTATCCCATCATTTTACTTATGAAGCTGTATGATTCCGCATCTAAAGTGGATCAAGTCCAAGGTTCTGCTTGCCTTAATTTCATGGAATAAGGCATTGATTTTTGGTGAAGCGTCGATGAAATCTCGGAGAAGGAAGCCGATCGACTCTTGGTAAACTTCTGTGGAGCGTTGGGCGCTACTTCACAGTCAGTAAAACAAAAGGGAGAACAGATATTTCCCATAGTTCATGTAACCTTTGGTAACTGAAAGCAGCATAAAGCCAAAATGTTAAACCTAAACTAATGTTGTGCACCTAAGTCCCGAACAACTCTAGGTAGGGAGATGGGTGTTTTCAGCAGCAAAACACTGAACAATGATTTATCACGGGTAAGTTATTAGTTGCTTTTCAAGTCCCGCAAGATGGAGAGGGTAAAACGACAATCTCAAAAGATATGTGTGTCGTCTGTTTACGCATCTATCGAGCAGATCACCGCTGCGTAACAGTAGTGCAAATGATACTTGAATTTAAAGAAGAAGACCACGTGAGGACAGTTATAGCAGAGGCACTCCGTGAGAAAATCAAAAGCAAGGATGTTCACTCTTGTACCGTCTCTGTAGATCTATGTGCCAAATAAATCTTGTCTGAAGGCATGGGTAATATATTCCAAAGTAGCACAGCTTAGACAATGAAGTGGTGGGGGCCGAGGTTACCATGCACTGGATTTTTTGAAACCATCCAAGGTGGAGAGGAAACAGCTGAGTTTTGGAGGATAGTTCCAGGGTTGGAGAACCTGAAGAGTAAAATAATTCTGGCTATATTCCAGACGGCTGTATTGTCCAATCAGTTTCAGACAGATCCCTATGAGCTTGGTGTAATGGCTCGGTTTCAGCAAGTGCCGTGTTACGTTGTTAAGGTCAAGTAATATTTCGTACACTTATATGAGATGGTCACGCAACTTTCTGTATTATCACCTAAAAACGCCTAGGGACTTCAGCCTTTGCTGGTAGGACAGATTTCCTTGAGCCTTGTGGTATTTCGCATCCGTAAGACAGGGAATTATATTTGTAGTTTAAAAAAGCATGATCCAGTTGCATTGAGACCGTCCTGAATACGTTGCACCATTTCTTGGTTATCTGAAAAACATAGTACCTATACAACTTTAATGTCATCCGTGAAAATTAGTACAGCGCTATTCTTCATACTCTGAAATACATTATTTATTTGGATATGAAAGGGTAGGCGGCCGCGGACCGTGCATTGAATACGAGTGCTGGTGATCGCCATGGGCTTTGGAATGCTCTTTCCAATATGTGCTACGTGTTATGTTTCAGCAAGCTATGATGATGAGCAAGAAAGCGGAGGATGTCCTATGACAGTATTTTGCATATTTTGCATAACCTCTGGCGAAGCACTCGGACGAAGCTTTTTCACCCTTAAGAGTAATATTGGCACTCGTTTCGTTATCTATGCTTGTTGCTGCGTGGTTTAATGAATCTGTCTGACACGTTACAAATGATTGACCTAAAAAGAGCACCTACTGTAACTTTTAAATAATTTGTATTTTATTGTGAATATGAGCGATACATTTTTACTGAGTTTATTACTCTAGAAATTATAGAGTGAGATCGACCTTTGTGCAGTCGCATAACAACTGTGGGTTTTCATAAGACAGAATCTAATCCTTTGTTATTTGACAAGATCAATATATTAAACATTAATAGAGGTAAGATGTTCTCGCGATTTTAAGCACTTACGAAGATTTCTATGTGATGCTACTTCGAACGAATATCCTAAGCATCAGCGTTTTCTTAGCAATATTGAAACCAACTTCGCACAGTTATTCGCTTCTCACATCCCTATCGGGGATGAATCAGCTGTAGATAATGTGATGGTAGATATCGAGCTAGAAGTAATGATCCTGCTCGCGTCCACAGTCCAAATCAATGACAGCAATTGGATAATTGATATGGAGTGGCAAGAACAGAACTCAATCAATTCCCACTAGAGGGTCAACCGGATGAAGTGAGCCAATTTGTGAATGGCTCTAATTGGTGGAAGATATCAAATGAGCACGTATTTTCTAAAATATAAAATGTTGATCGAGTTCCAGACTTAATTTTTGCTTCACGGTGAGCCATTATGACTGGTGGCAGCCATCGTATCCAGCACATCAGCCTCATTTGCGGGCATCAGCTAGGCCTTTCTTGACATAGTCATTGTTTTCTAAGATTATAGGTGTTTCGTCCATTTGTGTTGCAAAGATGTAATATGTTCCAGCTTCAAGGTTTAACACATGGCTCCCTGTAGTTAATCTTATTGGAACTGGAAGATATTTACGCTGGCTATACTCACGATAGCTTGTAATACCTTGCTTTCACTTAGCCAGGCGGCTGCGGCAATAAGTTACCAAACACGAGTCACAGAAACACGATAAACTGCTAATTCCAAGCCATAAGCTGAAGCTATCACATATTATACACCTGAAAAGAGCCTGACGGTCATCTTGGTAATATTGTACTCGATACAAGTGCTTTAATTAAGAATTCTACACGAAAAGGATGCGAGTTAAATGTATACACGCGGTCAGGGCATAGTCTGTTTGATCAAAGGTACTGTTATTTACACAACTAGTCCGTTTCTTCGCGTGAGAGATATTGGTTTGTGATAACGAAGCATAAGTTTAGAGCGCATTCCATCGGCCCATTGAGGGACCATGGTTGACGACATCCGGTTTCGCATTTGCATGTCACTGTGGCCAGCCACAGAACGCCTGCGCCTACAGAGGGACCATGGGTGGCTTGCGTTACACCGCCCACAGCTCCAACCACACACCCCATATCCAGTGTAAATCCGAAGGAATAAGACCTGGAGGCATGTGGATGGGAGCCACGTTTCATCAATGGAGTCGGCCCACACTCCTTCACAGGCAAACACAAGCACGTTGTATTTGAGGAATCAAGCGCACACAAGGCGATGGCTGGACGGTAGTCCGCTCCACACTGACTGCATTGAACCGCTCTTCGAGCCTAGCATGGCCACAAGGACCGCGCACTCCGTCTTCTCTTGCAGCATGCAACTGTCTCCTGGAGCCAGTATGGACTAGGTAGTGGGTAATATACAGGTAGTCACCTTGTCAACATGCACCTCAAGCGTAACCACACCGGGGATATCAATCAACAGCCAATCACTTGAAATAACATTATCAAATAAAGTATATCTGTTAAAGCGTACGGCTGTGCACATGACTCTTCGCTAAATTAACATATGAAGTAACTTGGTTGGCAACGATGACGTCATAAGTGCAACACGTTCAGAAGTTGTTCAATATATGTTACAAACGCAATAAAGTTAATGAAGATAAGGGCAATTAGCTTAACGTGTGCAAGTTAATAGAAGATTATTCGGGTAGGCAGAACAAACCAAATGAAGTGGAATGAAATGTATTCAGCTTAAAAAGACCTAGTTTAAGTGTAACTTGGTTTAGCTCAACTGCAGCGAAGAAACATCATGAACGCAACATCAGTCTCAGCATGTGGGACCATATGCCCACACTTAAGTGGTTACAGTCATCGCCTTACAGATTGCGGTAAAGATCATCATCACAAAGTAATTTGTTGAGATGTGGTACAGCCAACTGTCACTTGTTCCTATCCTGTAGTTAACACTTTGCATCAACTGCTTCTAAGGCTGTAAGTTAATTGGCTGTTTGTTTTAGTAACGATTCCTCGACTGCCTACCTAGTACCGTGTGCGGCGTTAACCCATGTTAGTTGAATGTGAGCTGCGCTAAATTACATACAGTGGATTAGTCATATCGGCCTATGCCGTCCCTCCAGTTCCGGTGAGCTTAATCATGCCGTGCAATACACTTCCGGACGTGACACCCGCTTGACTACACGTAATGTCCATGACTCTAACTTGCTAACACAAGTGTGAGTGTGCACCGACCAACCATTCGATGGTGTAAACTTCTGGCATATTCCTTTATCACTAGTTCATTCAAACGATTCATTTAAATACTGCTGTTGCGACGAATTCCGTGTGAATCCACCTGTTCCGACGTGTCATTTTGCCGTCCCCGAGCATCGATGCAAACCGAGCTATGCTCAACAGTGCATGCCTCATTGGTCCGTCGGAGGTACGCATTTCTCTCTCTTTGTTTTGGACTCTGATTGGTCCGGCTGCTGAGTTGATAGGACAACCCCTCTACCGGGCTGGCCCACTTATGGGGATAGCCGTGAAAATGCACTTACATTGGTCTAAAATCGAGAGATTGCGAGCACCTTGGCGAAATGGGCACGGAAAGCGTCGAAGTTGTAGCGGACTACGTTAACTCGGCCGGAATTGAGGTCGAAGTAAAACGTAATGAAGACACTGCTACTATGACGACGACGATGATTGCCGGGATGTATAATCGACCAGACCACTTCTTGATGCAGCACCTACCAGCAAATGCTATCGACACGAGTGGCTCACCGGATTTACAAGACAGCTCAGTTTTGTCATCGGAAGATGGGGATGCAAGGAAGGGAGGTTTCAAAGAGGATAAACCCTTGAATGGTTATGTTTTACCTCAAGATTTGAACCAAGGTAAGATACTAGTTATAGATTTCATTTTTCACCAAAGTGACTCCAGGTGTAAGTGGCATTACACCGTGTTTAACTTGGTAGGCACATCGTCTAGGCTGCTTTTTGCTCCGATAATTCGTCAAATGTTGATGATAAGGTGATATTTGTGTAATACCCTACTTCAGTACACAAAAGTAGGTATTTGTTAATGGTGGATGTTTGTGAGTAGTGTAAAGTTCGTATTTGTTACGATGAATGACATTTGGACAGTATAAATCAGTAGCTAAATGCCGAAACTGAGAGTTAGTGACGTTTTCCATCCACTTAAAGTTGGTCGCTAACTTTTTAATGAGGGAATGGGTATCAGTTATAGTGACACGTACCCGTTGTTCCCATAGGTTGGCAGGATACTCTGCCTGATGAAATTCTCCTGGATGATCGTCAAACGCATGTTGAGCTCGCACTACCTGAACCGAGACAGCTGGGGTTCAACTTCCCCACTAGCTGTGTAGTCACGCCCCCAAAAACGACGTGCGATTGGATGATTCCTGACCACTACTCAAACAGACGCGTTGCATGTAAAACTAATGTAATATGAAAGCAGCTGTGTGCACAAAGCGGTATCCGATACGAGAGGAATCACTTTGGAACTAATGTACATGGCAGCAGGAAAGTCTACCACGGCGGCATCAGAAGTCACATTCTTCAGCTGAGTGGGTAGAATTCCAATGCTCTGCAACCGGATAAATCGCGTAGCCACTGCCCTTTCCTGCACTCCTCGAGGAATGCATTAGTATAGTAATTCACGCACCCTAGTTTGCATGCTTCATGCATCTATAGGGGTTTTTCTGCGTTATACACTGTCAATAGAATAAGATGAATGATGATTACGTAATCCAGATGTGAAATTCTTCTGCTGACAATTCTGCGTCCGGTTACGGCAAGTTGGAAAAAGGTTCCCCACATCGAAGATATCAGCAATACTGTTCTGCCCCTTGTATTGGTCGACACGTGTGCTGGATATGTTGACATACCAATTAGTATCATATATATATATATATATATATATATATATATATATAATCTCTGTCCGTATAGTTACTAAATCTTTTCGTGGTACTAAGACGCTGTGCGGAAAGTCCTAGCTCGTGGGGCTAGCTGATATCCTCTGCATAGTTCGTAACTGACATGACAGCGGAAGATGAGCCGGGCTATATCATATCCACTGTCAATCACGCAGGTACGCGTCTGTCAACCATATTGAGGTGACACTAGCTGCTGACATCTGGAATTCAGGGGGGCGGAACCCTGCAGTGGTCCGCTGGAAGGCACGCCATTGCCTAGACATGAAAGGTCGAAATACCGATGTCTGGTGCTCTTCCAGACTAGCCAAAGCCAGTTTAATGAGAGTAGACCGTTATGAAGTACCTAAACATGTCAATTTCTTAAACTTTCAATACTCTGCATCCACAAAGTGGAAAGAGATCAGGCTGTATGTACATTGGCACGTTCTTACTAGAAAGAAGCATTGACAGGTATCATACTGGATTATGATGCGGATAATGGTGAGCTTACTGGAGGTTTCTCGTTCAAATTTTGGTCTCCAGATTATGTCCCTTTGAAGATATGGTACAAGGATGGAGAGAAACATGATTTAGTGGGATACGTTTACAGTGAAATAGGAGAGGAATATTTGGTCTACCATGACCTAGGCTCCTATTCAATACTGTGAACCGTGCAAATATGGCGAACAAAAATTTGGCTGCTCAGAAAATGGAGGATCGATAGTATCAAAATCGAGAACTGACCACTGGGAGAAGCACGATTTCGTAAGGGAAGCGGCATTTAAGTGAAATACAAATTTTACTATGCATTCATTTAGAATAATGTAGCACTGGGAAGCAAAATATCTTCAGAGGAAATGGGTGGAATGCACTACAAAGAGCAGGGAAATTTTGAAACTGGTGCAAATGTAGGCTGGACAAATAGCCCTCAGCATTATTGATGCATTTTGTCCTCAAGTCATTGAGTTCATTGGATTTATACTCTAGGGAAGATAAAAGTGACAACAGAAAGGTCAAAGAGAGCAGTCGTTTGTCTAACCTGCCAACGTGGCCAGATTTCAATGGATAAGCAGTAGTGGCTACAGAAGAGTAGTAGGTGGAGTTGAATGGTATAGGTAGAAATACATCACATCTAGACTCACTCAGACAGCCGACACATGCCCGGGAAAGCACTGTATGCGTGTTTCATCCCTTCGGGAATCGTCAGCAGTGCGCATTTCATCGGACCCTGGGTAGGGATGGAACCCGCAACTCGACTGTTGCCAGTCCGTGGTTGAGACCACTGAGCTACGGGGGACGACAACAACCATCGTGAATATGTTATAAGATGTGATATAGCGCCGCTCATTATCCAATGACTTACACGTTACTGCCGTGCAGAGAAGAGGGTACCCTCCTCACCGGATGGGCAGTAGGTTTACACTAGGAGTACGAGGTAGTTAAGGAAGGACCACGGCTCTGAATTTCTAATCCGTACATATTCCACCATGTTAAAATTCTAGCAGACGGAGATGGAATAACAATGAAGGGGAAAGTCAATGGTATATACTGTTTTGTAGAATCTACCGAAGTACCTATTTTGCGTCAACCAACACTAGAGGTCATTTTGCTATCAGCAACGTAAACAAGAAACAGCACTGTGATTGTCGACACTATCGTAACGTGCAGAAGGAAATTGTGGCCAGAGAGTGAAAGCATTTCTGAAGTTACGTGGCCAATCAAAAATTAGCCAAACCGTTTCACATAATCCCAGGACAATTGTCGTGTAGGCAGTCATAACGCAGTGTAGGGTTAGACATTCCGGGGCTATTGGAAACACTCTGCAACCTGTTGATCACTTTTTAAAATGACAACTACTGCTAATTTCGATACTTGAAGGTAGCTTGTACGCTATGGTACAACCTGAAAATGGCGTACTTGCTAGGCAGTATATTTTTAACCACCAATCAAATGAAGCAAATTCAGATGAAGCTTCACTCAGTGCAGTTACAACGATCCCGGCTTCAACAACTCACATTGTTCACGAAAATATATGCCTGTGGATGTTGTGTGAATGTTCCATACTTCTGACCGGTGTTTGAAAGGATGATGCGTCGGTCTAGCAAGCTGGGAGTTACCGGTTCGAATCGGCCAAATGCAAGCAATCTCGCGATATACTCAGCCCAATTGCAACTGTTGGTGGTCCCTAATAGCAACATTGTTATGGCTTACAGTGTTACTCCTCGTACCTTCTCGACCGATAGACGAAAGGACAACACGTGTATGTTGCAATCCGATCCTCGGTCCGAATCCGCGCAGATACGAGCCACCCGGCGGTACACATAACTGGCACGAATTCTGGTGATCGCGCGGCAGCGAAGTGTCGGTAAGGTCTACCGGCGTACTGCTGATGTCTTCCATTCCTAACTAGTTACTTTACCCAGGTTCCCGTAAATAACTGTCCTCTTCAACTAGCGGCTCTACACATAATTCTTGTGCCCCTAGCATAGGTTTAATCTGGAATAACTGCTCTATCAGTATATGAAACCATTTTCACACAAGTGAATTGTAGGGACAAAGCTTATTGCTGAAAACGAAAGGAATACTGCAATCCCAAGTCACGGATCCTATCATACGCATGGCGGAGAGTATTGCTAGGAAACAGTCAGCAGAGATGTCACAAGCATGGTCTAATGCATTATATTCATCTGCGGTAAGGGGTCTTCTGATTAAGACGCTGCGTTCTTCAAACCAGGTAAATCGGCTTGCATGGACGAAAACATCAGACACGTATGAGGATGCTCTTGAAATTTTGGCAAAGAAGTACATTTCTGTTGGACACAATGCATGTGTCTTCCACTGGCTCACACTTGTGATCTGTTGAGATTCCTGAAGACTTTTTCACTGTCTATGGTATGTAACGTAAATCTGTAACCGTTCTGAAACCAGTAAGGGGTTTCTTGATGTTGTGTCTTTGGCAATAAAAGTAGGGTTTCTTTTCTTTCGTCCCCATTGATCCAATGGTTCGCTAAATTTCTTTCTACAGGGGAACATGAATGTCTATCAGTCAGTTAAGGAGTGAGACGGTACCACCGGGGGCGTAGCAACTACTTTCGCGGCCCGGAGCGTTGACGAAATTCGCACACCCTCCCCTGGCAGTTATAAATCCGTAAGCTGTCAAAATCGGCTCAGGGTAAAGTGCACATTAGTGTTCGATGCAGTGGATACTCGTTGTATGCTGAAAGTGACCACAAGCGGACGAATAAGGGGATCGCTGAGACGGACGTTTGTAGAGATGTGACACATGGTGCAAAGGAGTTGTTGGTCATCCAGAATAACATTAAATATTTAACACTCAGCTTATCCGGAAATTTCGCCCTTCATATATACTATCGAACCCATACTAAAGATGCCGTCCGCTGTCACACGCCGCCCGGGGCGGATCACCCCCTTGCTACGGCTCAGGGTGCCACACCTCTCAGAAACATATAGGTGGTATTTGTGAACAGGGTTAGGTTTGAAAAGTTAAATGATCCTTTTGTAGGCAGTAGGGGGTTTATTATCACAGTTATATATCAGTCATGGCGGTCCGCTGTCGTCGACCGTGGCTCAGTGACATAAGTCGCTGACTAGCAAGAGTATGTTCGTGGGTTCGAATCCGGCAGGATTCGGTGGGTGCGCGCTACTGACGACCCAATAGGACGAAACGGCCGTCTAGCGCTTTCTTGGATGTGTGGTGGCTGTCGACCTGTGTCCAACTACGACTAACCTACACAAAAAGCTAAATGATCCTAGTCGCGGATACTTTTGGGTTGATCATTAGTCAATGAAATCACCGTGACTGTGAGATCCTTACTCCAGTCCTGTGTATGAAGGGGGTACATTGTGTTCGCAGACAACCGCTTTTCAAGTGTTGTTGAAATCGGAAGACGGAAATTTCTGTGGTACTGAATAGGGTGCACCAAACACTTCAGCGTG